TCTTCGTCCCTATTGGGGCAATTTTGCTGGCTTACACACCCATTGAGCCCGAAATGGGCTTCACCACTGAAAAAAATTTGGCTCGAAAACGTCGCATCTTCTTGGAAGAGCGTAGCGATCGCAAGGGCAGGTCGAAAAGCTTCTGTTATTGCACAAGTTGTATTTTGTATTTCAGGTTTCATCGTAAAATGTGCCAAGTCGTTCAATACGTCAGCCCGAGTTGCTGTGAATTGCCCGAATCGACTTTTGACGGTCTTCGTGTGCACTCTCAACTACGACCGCAATATTGTCTTCGCTGCGTGCTGAACGCCGTCTGTTCGGTCATATATTATATTATCCAATAATGAATGCTGGGTTTCAAGATGAGTTATGGTGTTGCGAATAGTACGCTCAGTAGGCCTATTATGTTGACCAAAGAATTCGCAGTGATAGACGCCAATTCAATTTCTGTGATCGAGAAAGTGTGTGGAGATCGGCGCCCGATCTATTGAGCTTCGTATTAAGTTATGTACTCCACAACCTGGCGGATTTCCATACAAAATTTAAATGTTCGAAATCGTTTAGGCGATATATGGGCATCAAGTGCACGGACAAGTCCCTATGGTATTTTCTTAGGGAAAGCTTTAGCCACAAACTGTTGCATGCGCTCTTCCTTGAATATAAAATCGCTTACAGTCAAAAGTTTGTTTAAGATTTTACTACATCTTATCAACCACTTTGAGGCACCTTTTTTCAGTACTTGGTTCAGAGATAGCTTCACAACACTCTCTGTCTGTCTGCCTGATGGAAACGAATCCTTGATCCAAAACTATTACGCTTTACTATTCTTCTGTAGAGAAAGTGTTGTCAAAACAGAAAAGAGCTGTGGACTCTATCTTTCGAGAATAGCGTCGAATTCAGTGTTCGTGCCCCCTCTATGGTTTCTCAGGTACATTTCTGACGAGAGAAAATTTGGAAGAATATCACAAAGTGCTTCAATGGGAGTTGTAGGCAGCGCTCCTGTAATGGTTATGCAGACTGTTTCCTGACAGTTGTACACCTTACACCTGTACGTAGCTTTCACTTGTCCCAGCCACCATGCAGTGACTCCGCAATATAATATGGATCTTATTACCACTTTGTATAGCCAGTAAACTATATGCGGCTTCTAAGACCTCATATTTTACTTATTGCTGCCTGGCAGGTGGAGAACGCGGTCATATCTTCCTAACTCTTTTCAACCGTATTTCGGCACCAGGTAAACTTACTATCTAAGATTGACCTCGGTAGAAGGAGTGATCTCGATGCCTTTAAGTGAGGGTGGCTTAATAGCAGGTGGCTTATACCTTCTGGTGAAGGGCATTACTTTGGTTTTTGAGGGATTTGCATCCACATCGGCAGAGAATGACAAGCACTCCGAGTGTTTTTCTGGCATGAAAATAAAAGATCCTCACAGAAGCTTATCTGCCGTTCCGAGAGGGCTTAAAATAAATAGTGGATCCCTTAATTTGTTGGTAAAACATCAAGACATACACCAAATTGAAAGATGAGCTCGGGCCGAAAATCGCTTCAGCGATAATCCGAAAAAAACCCGAATACCCAACATAAAAAAAGAATACTCGTAACACCAAATGTTTACTCCGATTTGTGGACTCGGTCATGTTGGATGACCGTAGCTATCTTTCACCTACCATGAAGACATGCTGACAGTTTGTAAGCCAACAAGCACAGTTGGAAATCCGCAAGAAATTGCTTGAAGTAGCCGGTAGTTTACCACATTGACGAATTTGATCAAAGTGGAACTTGTCCACACACAGCCAAATAAAATCGCTGCATCAGGTATTGCTACATGTGACAACACATACGTTCCGAACCGATCTTTATGTGCGCCAACGGACGTAGATAAATTAACCATGACAACAACAATGGGGCGAGTAAAAATGTCATGCCGTTAGTTGGGCCGAAACAACACAGCAGGATGCACCATAATATTTTGGTTTATGACTTCTGTGTGACGCGAACGAGGGCGAGAAAGACAGAGAGAGAGAGATCGAAAGGGAGTGGAATGCAAGAGAGAGAGAGAGAGATAGGACTGCCTTTGAACATTGAAGTTGGCAGCCAAGTCACGCCAAACGTCCACTTTGCTTGGCCTTTTTAACAGTAAATGAAACGAATTAGAGTACAACAACTAGCCGAGGGGCGCATAGAGAGCTGCGAAGCGAAGAGGACTATGTAGCTGTACCTCAACGTTGAGAACGAACGAGTATGTAGTTGGTCAATAATTTGGCATGCACCTCAGGGGAGTGGAACAAACGTGGAAGCGCTGTAATGTGGCAAGCTGCCTAGCGTTCGCTGGTGGTTGTGGTGGTGGCAGCGGCGGCTTCTACTAGAGCCGGAGTACAAGTTGGTGATTTTTTCTTGTGGCAAAAAGTAAAAATAAAAAAAAATATATATGTACGTGTATGTATATACAGACTTTTTTGGCTCGAGCATTTTTTGTAATGCTTTTTGTGCACAGTCGAGTGTCGGTATGTATGTATGTATGTATACATACACATATACATATGGTATCTGTAGGTAGACACCAATTTGAATTGTGTTTAAGTAAATTAAGTTGTTACGGTCAGCCTTGGACGCTGTCAACCGAGTACACACATACACACACACATACTCTACCCGTTTGTATGCACATATGCATGTATGTATGGATGTGTGCTTGTGTACATACGTTTGATATATTGTCACTCTGCGCTGCGGTGCGGCTCTATTGAGGCGGTTTAGGCGTTGCTGCTGGAGCAATATTATTTGGAACGTTTTAGGTGTTGTATTTGTCAACATTTATACGCTACACGTTCGTTACGCAGCCATGGAGTTGTTGCGTTGTTGGCCGTTGTGGAGTGCAACTAAACAAAAAAAAATTCTTGCGCTGTGTACAGGGTAAAGTGGAACGGCGCGTCGTGTTGGTGTGGTGCATGGAGGAAGCGGCACAAAATTGAGTTACAATTTGCCAGCAGGGCATGTTTACCGACCAACCAGCAGTGGTCGGCGGCGGCGGCAGCGGCAGCAGCAGCGTCGGGTGGTAGTGTTGGTAGTTTTTTTTTGTTTTTTACATTGACCGCAAATGTTTCCCAACTCATGTCTAATGCCCTCCTGGAGACGGAGTCTTGTTGAACGCATGTACGCTTGCCGTCTCCCCATTCGCTTTATATGTATCTCTCTACATCTGTGCTTCCATTTACGCTGTGATTGGTGGTTAGTTGTTGAGCGTTAATAAACAGGAATAAACGCACATAAAAGGCATAAGGATGTGCTAATTTCGGGAATGTATCGAGTAAATTAAGCGCAACCCATGTGCAACATGATTTCAGGCATAATAGTTCCGAATGTGTTGGTTGTTTTTGCAGCTACTCCCTTTGCATGACGTCCGAATTAGAAAGTTACAACTATAAACGATGCTTAGAGCATTGATTGAGCCTTCTGCGGTGGGTGGTCAATGATGTGAGAGGATTCGGCTGCGTCGCTGCTTCTAATGTGTGATATTATGGCCAAGTACCATGGACATTGTATAACCGTGCTAACTGTGTGCGCAAGGAGTTGGAGGGATACTTGGCTAACACTAATAGATTTCTAATAGATAGATTGCTTCTAATGTAGACCCGAGTGGGACGCACTTTCAAAAACTGTCCGGGTAGCAAAAATTGCTCTTCCTTGAATAAAGTAAAACAAAATTTTCACGATCTGTTATTCTTGTTGTTGGTACAGAGGGTTGCTCAGACTTTGCTAGGACCAGTCAAGGTCAGTTTCTGTCGTCTACTTCATCTAACTGGCGGCCCCGGAAATGAGCTGCTTCGATTCTCAGAATATTCGATTCTGTGCAACGGTCTTGACCCGTTTTCGGTGACCGAACGCCGCTAATTATCATATCATGAATAGATATCACATTCAATCTGTTTTCGACCGAGCTTCTCTTCCAATTCGTGGTATTTTCTTTGATGTTTTTCGAACAAATGGTGTGGTTTACACAGTTTACCCAGAACCGGGCTCGAACGGCTGTTGGATTCTTATGAAGAACTTTTAGTTTCAGGACAGAAAAACACTCAGAGGGCGTGACATTGCTTACTAAGTGACCAAAAAAAGTAAATTATCTTTAATTTTGTATGTTGGTCGGCTTCTTCTTCTTCCGTTTTCCCCTCTGCTTTCCCTCGTGTCCACTGCATCGAATGAATACTTTCAAAGCAGCAGTATTTGCAAAGGTCGGGGTTAGCTGAGATAGACGCTGTCTCTAATTCGCAGATGTATCAAATGACTGAGTAAGTCAAAGTCTCACCTAATATCGTAATTGGTTAGGATTTTCTAAAAATTTTCTAGATTTTTCGTCTGTGATCCGACTCCAAGACCCCCAAATCGACTTAATCTTACAATTATAATTTTTTTCTCCCTTCCTACTTGTATGAAGTAGAGCGAACCAAGCCCAGTTACTTGGGGTTCCTTACAGTCGGAACTTTTGGAACGTTTAAGCGGGTAGGATAGATTACAAAATTTATTGAGGCCTAGACATCTTTTTGGATGCTATGAAGTTGTCTAAAATTTCCCAGCCGACAATCGCTCCTAATGAGGAGATGAATGGAAAGGCATACACAGATTAGATTATTACAAGTCGGATAAAACGAGATGATTTTCACGCATACAATAAAGCAGGAATCTTTTTGTTTGGGGAATGTTGCGAGATTGATAGTCCTTGGACGGATTAAAAACCGGGTCGTTTCGGTATGAAGACCCGACAGTTGTGAGAACTTTTTGACAGGCAAGCCTTACTGCAGGAAATTCTTGAGTCTCTACCCCCCACCTTTTTGGCAATTCTTACTGAACGCGTTCGGCGAGACAAAAATCCAGTAAAACTTGTAACGAGAGTGATTTTTTGCCATTTCGTTAATGGCTAATTTCTACTTACATTTCACACCGTATAGAAGAAATGAAAAACAAATAATTACAGAAAATATAAGTTTATTTCCAATAATGAAAATAGATCAAAAAAAATAAGCAAACCATGGTGGTATACATATGTATATAAGCATATTCTAATACGAATCAGATGAATTCAAAGTCTTCATTTGTTTATTTTGGAATCTATATAAATTTACTCATCACAAAATTCATAATTTAGGGGTAAAGTGGTTCTCTCTACTTTAATTCTTAGCCTACCAATGGCAACAATCGAGGTTATGCCGGCAATATCTTCGCTGCTGGATCTAATAATGCCCATAAACCGGCCACAGACGAAATAGCACCCAAAATACCAATTGTGCGTGGTGTCAAATTCGTATAACCCAAACCTGTTAATGGTATAAATAGGTCGCACAGATTTTTCACCGTATCCACAGCAACATCTTTGTGGGCCAACATCAAGGAATACGAATACAAGGCTAATCGATTAAAGTCACGTCGTGAATTTATACTCAACGGTGAGGTGGTGATATTTCCACGGATTATACCGCTCTTTGCGCCTGCCTTATGCAGATTCATTAAACGAAATATTTCATATACATCGCGACAGAGATTCATTATAATTGACAGCAACCAATACTTATTCGCGAATTTGCCCCAACTCTTTGTATTTATGCTCTTGACGAGGCCAGTACGTGCCAACCACATAAAGTGATCGCCCAAAAGAAACAGTGACTGTGATAACTTGCTCAATGTCAAGGTAACACGTATCGTCAATTCAGGATGGTGTATTGTACGCAACGAAGAGTAGAAGACGTCCACACAGCGACCGAAACGCAAAACTGAGAGGATAAAGAAAAATAGCAATTTGATAAAAACCCTTATTGCAGACGTGGCGATGCGACTTACGTTTTCGGAAAGTGCTCAGTATGTACTCCACTGTTTTGAAGTTATCGGCGAGTGCAGGACTGGCATCGACACTCTCCAGCGAGTCCCATAAGGCACGCGATGTGTACTGAATCAGCCTAAAAGTGAGCAGAAAATAATATTCAAAATAAGTTTATTGTTATTTTACGCAACATACCGTGCAATTTTATCACGTCCTGCTGTTTGGTTATTTAGTTTGATTAAAGCGTCCAAACTCATGATTCCTCGCTTTTTTGTTTCGATTTCGTGTGCTCTTCACAACTAAATATGAAATGTTCACTGTTTAAACGACTGTTGTCGTTCAGTTCAAAGGTTCAAAAGGATAAACAAACAAATTCGTAAGTAATCAAAAAGAGATTAGAATAAATTATTTATTAAGCAAATCTAACACCTGTTTTGTTATTGTTGTATTATGAGGCGCAGTTGTCAAATGCCGCTGTGTTGAGATTTACGGCACAGCTGTTGGTAGTTGAAAATGGTGGGGTTGGAAAAATTGCTATAAGGATTTGAGCAGAGTTGAGTCAACGAATAATTTATAAATAAATTAAATAATTGAAGTATTAATTTCATGTTATTAGAATTGGTTTTTCTATACACGTATCGAAATAATTTCGATAAAAAATTTATTTGTGCGTCGTAAAACATTGGCACACTAAAATTCATTGAGGCGCCATCTGTACGTCAAATTATTTTTCTTGCTGTAGATGGCGCAAAATAGTTATCTGGCGTGAGCAACTGCAGTAAATTAACCACACTTGCTTACGTTGTGTTCACACAAAGGTTTTTCCAACAAATGTATTTTTGTATAAGGAGTTTTATTTCACATCACAAATACTCTCGGAGAGGTTGACATTCCCTGCCGAGGGGCGACCGCAATCAAAAAATTTAACGTTTTTTATTTAAATTAATTTTCTATAACTTTTTGACTGTTAGTACGACACCATGAATTGATACAGAATATAAATTTTGAAATCCGTAAAAGATAAAAATAATGAAGTAAGACGAAGCTCGAGGCGCCTAAGTATTTCTAGAGAGCTGATATGACCAGTATGGAGTGCGGATATATTTTGTAAAGAGAGCAAGTGATCTTAATGCAGAATGAAACGGCTCTAATCTTTCAACTCTGACGCTGCCATATTCTATTATCGGCAGGACCAGCGCAGTGAAAATACTGTGAAGTTCGAGTTCCAAAAAATTTCATTCAGTGCTAGAGGTTAGATCATAAACTTTGAGAACATAGTACTGCGATCGGACCCGGGGTTGAAGAGGTACAACGTGAATTATTTTATTGTTCGGCAACATCACTAGAGTTTCCAGGCCATAATTTCAAAGACACGAAAATTAAAAATGGGGTTCCGCCAGATGGTATCCTCTCGCCGCTGATGTTTATTTTCCATTTTTCCTCGCCTCATTCGTCAGATGATGCCATTGTGATTTCGATAACTTTACGATTTTGCTATTGATAACTTTTGGGCAAAAGTGCTCTGTTTACGACCTTTCCCACGAAATCCAAGGCGATCATCATCTCCTGTAGGTCGAAGAACTACCGAATTTTCCTAAATTTCAAAGTCGATGACGTTGAAGTTCCGGTTGTTGGCAAACTAATGTTACTGGGAGTGGTATACCCACAGCGTGTGCTTCTTAACTCCTCCCAGCAGTTGGAGGAAAAGCCAAAAAAGATTGTTGGCAATCTACTAGGTTATTGGCTTGCCGGTAAAAGATTATGCCGCAACCGTTTGGGTGAAGAGAGTAAGAAATTAAAAGCCTGTCAGAACATCGCCTGTAGAGCCATATCAGAAAACCTCCTCGAATTTCCTTCATATCACATCTGTACTCCAAAGCTAAGAAGCATAGTGTTTTGCGGTGTAAGAGTTCCTGCGCTGTGAGTTCCTCAGCAGATACCAACTTGAAGCAAAACTGCTTCATAACACATAAGACAGGAAGTCCTGTATAAATTTACAACAGAACCGCTGTACGCGATTTGCAACAGGCTTAAATGCCATTTAAAGCGAGTCAGTCAAAACCTTTACCAACTCTGTTCTAGTGAACGGATAGCAGCCCAATCACTACCCCTAACAGACGTAGCTGCTTAGTTAGGCTAGAAGAATTATCTGGCATAATTAAGATCTGTGTACTGTAGACTATAGACTCACCTCCTATTTTCCCTTAATTACGACACACGTTGGGTATGCACTGCATGACATGAACCACTTCTTTGCATGACCACTAAAACCTACCACTTTCTCTCTGGTCCGAACTTGTTGTCACAGCTTGTTTGTTGGGCCCACCTTTCACTAGTTGATCTCGACGACATTAACAATGAGCACTCATATGTCTCAAACCACTTGTCGAAATTCCACCCTTCCTTCCTATATGAAGGACTTCATATTCCGACGCTTAGGTCAAATAAGATCTCCTCTCCACACGACCGAAGCAGTCGGTTTTTGTTATTGTACCACTTCACCGGCACCGGACTTCACACTTTCCCACATGTTAGTTATAGCCTTCCGCTCAATAAATACGCTGTAGTGTACAATTGAGAAGCCGCAAAAGACATTCTGACCACAAAGCACTTAATTTTCACGGTAGCATTGATGCAGCACCAATTAAATGAAATAAAATCGAATTGCCTTCCGATTGCATATCATTTTTTAAAACGTTCTGATTGGATTTAATTTAATTTTTTACCGACTGCAGTGCTCGAAAAAATATGAAACCACAAAGCACCGCCAATATGAGTGTAATCGTAAAGCTTTTACAGTGAATTATTTTTTCCACCGCCAACTAAACTAACGATATTTACACCTGCAGCACGCCACGACACGCCACTTCATTCTCCAAAGGACGCGCTGCACACTCCCACTCACCGTCAACTGCCAAGCCGTATGCTGCTGGTGTTGATGGTTTCGATGCTAAAAGCTCGCGCTGACAGAGAAGACAAAAAGTGGCGCTAATCAAATTAACTCTTTGTGAAGTGCTATGAGCGACCCGGGCACTTTGTGGATTATGAAAAATGAAGGTCAGTCGGTCTAACTTGCAGAAAGTGTGGAGCTGGCGGTACGAGGAGCGGATGGTGGTTTATGTGTGACGGTGGCAGCACTAAACGCTTGCGAGTCGCTACTATTGCCGCCAGCAAATAATAATTTTGGACGACATACCCAAAAGACGAAATTACACGAAATCTGTAAGCAAAAAAAAAAAACAAAAAAGGAAAACAAAGCAGCCTTCAACTGGCGTTGTACCCAAGCTATTGTAGAAGCAGTGCGGGCGAGACATGAGAGCGGTAGTGGTGGTAGCGGTCGTAGGGTGGGTGGCATCGACGGAAACACTTTGATGTATTGTCACCTTTTGACTTGGTTACTTTACACTTTCAACAACGAATATTGCTCAAAAGCACATCGGGAATGCTGGAAAATAATGAGGGAATGAGTTTTTTGTATGTCCAGCAAGAAGTTAAAATATCCATTATTAGAAAGCAGACAGCAAGTGAGTGACAACAACAATGACTGACTACTCGCCGTAAGTGAATGGGCCTATAATTAAAATATGAGAGTAATGAATTACTGCCATTGACTCAAAGGAAAGGACGGAGGAAAGTACGGAGGAAAGGAGGTAGAGCAGTGTTTTATACTCAAATTGCTGAACTCTTTCACCTTAAACCTTTTTGGCATGCACCGTAATCGAATACTCTTTATACTCGTGTAAGAAAGAAAGGCGAATTGTAGAAGCAATGCTTTTATGTAGTTCGTATTATGAAATAAATAAAAACTATTTTATAAAAGATGGATCCATTCGTAAAAAGTCCCGCCTACGGAAAATTGTATTTACATGCCAGTGGGTTTTAAATAATACACTAGAGAGGGTCAAGCTTGTGGCAAGGTGGAATGAAGCGCAAAACAGCTTGAAACGGTGCCTCTTTCCCCTTCCTTTAAGCCTCTCTCTCTCTCTCTCGCATTCTCCAAGCTTCAGTTTCTTCCCAACTGCGCACTGTGGTTCTAGACCCGCATGGTGTCGTGTGTTTTCGTACTAATTGGATGTTTTGCTATCAGTTGCACCTGACGGTATTCGAATGGAACCTCCCGAATACCGATATACCTCCGGGCGTATTGGGGACTTAATGGATACTTCGACCAGTCGACCGTTCCATCTCCATTTGCCCTATTTCCGGCCAACAAAGAGTCTCAACCTGGTAGGTGGTTAAAGAAACAGATGATAAATACAAATTGAATTGAGCCTTGGATTACTGCACAGGGGAAAATTCAGCTAAAGGACAATGTGTGACTAAACCATACTCATCAGTAACTTCATCTTTGTGGCCATAACTTGACGAATCTTTGTTTTCAAGTGTTCAAGAGTCAAAGGTTTTCGTCTAGCACCACAAAAAAGAAAGTCCAATTACATCAAACCGCTCGAACTCGGCGACCAAACGACATCGCTAAGACGAGATGTTACGCGGCCGGGAAATTTCTGTCGCAAAAAGGCCATATTCGCTCCGTTATGTGGTATGTAACGCTATCTTGTTGAAACCACATATTGTCCAAGTCGCCTCCTCCAATTACAGGCTAAAAATGGACGATCGTAACACTACGGATTGACAGTGACAGTCTCGATGTTATTCTTTTCAATGCAGTAGGGTCCAATCACACCTCCGGGCCAAAGAGCGCACCAGTCGGTAAGGTTTTTTGTGGAACCATTACACTTATTACCATCATTGGATGATTCTCTGAGCTCCAAGTGCTTATTTATGTATTCTCCGATTGAGCAAGATGCCTCGTGGCTGAACATTTTTATTTTCCTAAAAATCACCGTCCATTGCTTGTTGTTTAAGCAACCAATCGACGTATGTAAGACGTTGGGCCTTCAGTTGTTGTGTTAACTGGACTTTAAATGGATGTATGTAGGCGTTAGTCCAAGTGCCAAATACGCCATAATGTGCCATAAGAAAGTCCAAGGTCTTGAGAACGTTGAGAAGTAGATAAATTTGGCTCTTCGGCCGCACTTCCACTCAACTTAGCCGTATTTGAGCTGGAACGTGTAAAACGGTCATGCAAAGGCCTTACAGTATCCGTAACCGATCCAACCTCTGTAAATATCTTTCACCTTTTTCCAATTGCTTGAGTAGCTGGACGATTATAGTGCCATCTCCTCTGGAAGCACAACACGTAACCACGTTTGAATCTTCATTTTTGTTTTACATTTTCATAAATGCCCGACTTTTAACTAAAACAAAACATGTTTGGTTTGACAGCTAAGCTTTATAGATGCCAAAAAAGCAGCCATGTACTTTTGTACCCACGAAATGGAAATATATTTCAAGTTAAAAGCAACCTTTTCCTGAGAACCAGAAGACACTCTTTAATGCAAGTAATCCCCGCTGGGAAAAACCCTATTAGGGTTTCTAGAAAGAAAATTATGAAGTTTTTTCCCCCTACAAAGTACGTCTAGGCTTAAAATGCCCATTTTTCTTGGTCAGTGGCTGAATGCTTTTTTCCTTCCCTCCTTCCTTCACCGTAATTTCAAATTATATCATTAACGA